TAATTAATGACAGAATTTCATTTTTGGGTGAACTATCCTTTTAAACTACCTTACTAACTATTAATAAGCAGCAAATTAGGAGTTTGAGGCAAAAGTCGTTGGCTTGTTAATGGATGTGACCATACTTTTATTTATTTATTTATTTTTTGTACTTTTTTTTTCATTTAATTTAGTAATTTTGTTATGTGCTTTTGTCTATTTATTAGGTTATTTTTATTTATTTATTCATTTATTTACTTATTTTTTAATATTTGTATTTAACTTTAATTGATTTTATTTAATTTTAGGATAACACTTTACAATACAGGTCCCATCAAGTATTGTTACATAACATATTTTTCTTAAATATATGCATGCATGTGTTTGTATTTATATATACATAATAAATATACACAGTATACACACATATATTATGTAAACAAAAACTTTTATTTCGGATGCGATTAATCGCGATTAATCGTTTGACAGCACTAGTATTTTGTGAAATGTTTCCAACTGCTCTTTATCATTTAATTAGAAACATCACAATATAATTTAATTGTGCTATACATAAAAACTAATGAACAGACATTCGAAGTGTATTTTAAAATGCAAAGTATTGAAAATCTAAATAAAACTCTATAAAAACTTGCACTTGTCCCATTGGGTAATGAAAAGTTCTACACGCACTTGTGGTCTTCACACCCACTTGAACACTTGGACCAAGTACAGGAAATACGTCATGTACTGTAAGTAGACACGTGTTCAAGTGCAAAGACCACAAGTGTGGGTATTTGAACGAGCACTTGTTGTCCTTTTTGATAGTTTTACTCAATTGGAAGTCAAAATAGAAGACTGAAGAAAATAACATGTCTAATTCTGAGGCTATAAGTTAAGCAATAGTTTTTAAATACAGCAGAGCACATCAAGCTAGCAAAGACAAAAACATCTCTAGATTCTCAAACCGTCCCCAAAGGAAAGCACAGTGTTTCTTGCCGAGGCTCTTGGGATGTGGTGTGTCTGCCTAAACAAAGAAAAACACTGGCTAAACACTTCCTAACTCATGCGTTGGATCAGATTAAGCATTCAGGCCAGTGCTTTGCAAAATAATTGATCTATAAACTCCTCACAATGGGTTTAGCAAAGGCTGATTAGCATTTTTGATGCTAGAATGCAGAAATTTCAGGTCACTTGTTTACATAAGTGCCCCAAATACCTGGTCACTTACTTTGGATCTGACAAACAGCAGTTGAGCAATGCTATCTGCTGTTAGGTCACTTCAGCCTCTGAAGGACTCGCTATCACTCCAATCACATACATTTGCTCTGTGTGCTTTAGGTCACCGAGTTGGCTGGCTACACGGCACGTGTGCACAACATGTTCTTGGTATTTGACCAAGTCCAGAGGGGAATATACAAACGTTCATCTGCCGTCTCGACCGCAGGGGAGATGATAAGCGGGGATGATAACCGACCTGAGATGCACATCGATGGGCCTCTGGAAATCAAAGGTCTAATGAACGTAGCGTGATTCTGCTGCTGTGTTCACCCAAAAAACCCCAAAATGAGCTCACCTTCATGTCTAAACCTGTATGACTTTATGTCTTATCTTATAATGTTACGAAAGATTTCTATTTCAGATAAATGCTGTTCTTCTGAACTTTCTATTCATCAAAGAAAAAAATCATAATAATAATAAAGGTTTTTTGAGCAGCAAATCAAAATATTAGAATGATTTCTGAAGGATTGTGCGACTGGAGTAATGATGCTAAAATTTCAGCTTTGAAATCACAGGAATAAATTGAATTTTAAAATATATTCAAATAGAAAACTGTTATTTTAAATAGTACAAATATTTCACAGTATTACCACTTTTGCTGTTTTTTGGATCAAATAAATACAGGCTTGGTGAGCAGAAGAGAATTCTTTAAATTATTTAATCTTACTGTTCAAAAACTTTTGACTGGTAGTGTATACTTAAAAATAAGGCCCAAAACCTTTAAAAATGAAGAAATAATGATTTAAGAGTTGGAAAAGTAATTTTTATTTTATATTGAAAAAAAAAAAATCTAAATTTAAGTTATGTTTATTTATTTATTTCTGTGGAGTTTTCAGGTTTTGCAAGCCCTTTACAAACATTTAAGGCATGTCAAACCCTTGTGTTTTGAGGTTTTGCAGTTAAGCAAATAAGTATTCAGATCAAATAGATCAAAAAGTTTGGAATCAAATGGTAGTTTGTAGTTAATAACAAACGTATTTTACATTAAAGGGGTCATATGATGTTGCTAAAAATAACATTATTTTGTGTATTTGGTGTAATGAAATGTGTGTATGTGGTTTAAGGTTAAAAAAACACATTATTTTCCACATACTGTACATTATTGTTTCTCCTCTATGCCCCACCTTTCTGAAACGCGTCGATTTTTACAAAGCTTTTATGAGAAGTGGTTTTATTTAAGTTTAACATAAAGGCATGTTGTGTGTCACCGCAGTTAAATCGGTGTCTATCATGATAAAACCTTAATATCAAACCTATATAATGAGTTTGCAAATTTTAGAGAAATGCTTAATAAATGCATTACACTCTAACTAAACCCATTAGATTTTAGCCGACTAGATTTACTGTAGATTTAGTCGACTAAAATCGTATGATATTTAGTCGACTAAAATTAGACTAAAACTAAAAACAATTCAGATGACTAGAATATGATTAAAACTAAATGGCATTTTAGTCAAAAGACTATGACTGAAACTAAATCAAAATTTGCTGTCAAAATTAACGCTGAATGAGAAAAGCAACAATCCTTACATAAATTGCACAGGAGACTCAACTCACAATTGATTCCAATAGGTTTTGATGTTAGCATGTTACTAAGGTAACAATGAAATACTCTACTAAGTATAAAATGTATCTAAAAAATAATTTTTATATATGCACTGAATGAAACACATTTATTAGTAATTTCACATATTAACATTAATCTTGATTTTTTTCATTGTGTCACAAAGCATTAGGTTGGCGTTCTCTGTGAAGGATACTGTATGTGTGATTTTGCTTTTGATTTTCACCAGACCCAGTTACTTTATTATGCATGTAATTTTTGCTTTCTTTGTAGCAGACTTTGTGTCAAGAGTGGACCTACGAGGCATTAAAATGCACTTAGGTAGACGGCCCACTAGGTTTCAGAACAGCTACTGTCCTCCATCTCTGTTACATATTGCAGACGTTGCACCGCCAGGATTTGACTGCTGTATCCAGAGTCAGAGACAGTGTAACTAAAGCTCTGTGAAATGCTGAGCGATAGAAACCAGTCCTCAGTAGTGAAATATTTACCGTTTCCTGCAGGTGCAAGCGCAGCCAGAAGCCCATTAATATTTTATACACAGGCTGTTGTGCTTATGTGACTATCTATCTATCTATCTATCTATCTATCTACTGTCTGTCTGTCTTCACTTCGCCTGACATAATATCAGTAAATAACAGTAAAAATGTTTTATCCTCTCTCCAGACCATACATGTCCATCGGAACGTTACGGGACCAGGTCATCTACCCCGACTCTCTAGACGACATGCATGACAAGGGTTACAGAGACAAGGACCTGGAAGTTATTCTGGACATTGTCAATCTAAACCACATTGTTACCCGGGAAGGAGGTTTGTACATGTAATTCCCATTTAGCATTACTAAAGTGTTTCACCATTTCAATCTCTTTGTGATCCTTGAAAGAATTATTGTGTGCTGTGTAATAGGATCCCAGTTTTTTGAGCCAGCTTTCCACGAATTAAAAATGCCATTTTGTCATTTATTTTGGGGAAGAAAAATAAAACTGCATTTTAGAGGTCATTCACGGCTGTGTCTGTTTACAGGGTGGGATGCTGAGCTGGACTGGAAAGATGTTCTTTCTGGAGGCGAGCTAATTAATTCTGATTGATGTATCAGTGTTTGCAGGGAAAAAAAATTCAATTAGATAGATGGCTAAATTATTCAGTAGATATGGAAAAATATCTTATACTGTATATAATATAGTACAACATGATTAAATGTTTATGTAAATATGTTTTGTTTAATTTTCTTATTGCACGAAATGAATGCATTAAATTGTCATCTCTCTCTGAAAGTATAGTAGTATGTATTTATATTAATGTAAATATTTATTGAAGAAACATTAATTAGTAGGGAATTGTAGTGATTGAATTTGCATAAAGGAACATTTTACCAGTTACTACAGCAAAAAATGCATGGAATGCATTATACACACATACACTATTAGATTTCATCAAATGATGTAACTTCACACTCTTCTCACCCATCCGCAGGAAATACCACACACACCTGCTGCAGTTTGACGGGGAGGGCGGCTGGCGGTTCGAGCAGCTGGATACGGCCACACGGCTCTCACTGACGGAGGAAAAGCAACGCTTGGAGTCTCAGCTCGCAGGCATCCCTAAGATGCAGCTCAGACTGAATGAACTGTGTAAGATCTTGGGCGAAGATTCGGTTCTAAAGACGGTGGAGAACAAGGATGAGGACTGAAAGAAGCCTGGAGATGCTTGATGTTCAGGAACACTTTTGGTACTTTTAATATTTTAGCAATGATTTTAACATTTGATGTGTATACATGACAATTTGATACTGAAATTGGAGTTTAATAGGAATTGTAGAAACAGTTCCCTTTTGCTTTATTTTTTGTTTTTATAGTTTAGTTTTGTTTTCTTAGTTTGCTTTTCGTTTTTGTTCATTTGTTTTACTTATTTGTTTGTTATATTTTTGTTTTGCTGTTTCGTTTTATTTTGTTTGTTTGTTTGTTTTTGTTCTTTTGTTTTGCTTTTTGTCATGTTTTTTTGTTTGTTTGTTTTGCTTGTGATTTTCTTATTTTGGTTATATGTTTTCAGCACTTTATTGAACCTATTGCCCAGAAATTTAGCTGTATAAATTATGTCTCGAATTATGTAGTTTTCCTTTCCCTGATTAACTCTTTCAGCTAGTTATTATTTAGGTAGTGTACTTCAAAGGATGTATTGCTCATTTCTTATTGATATTTTAACCTAAACAACTGTCCTCCATATCCGGAAACAAAAACATAGCATCCTGTGGTAACAACAATAGTGAACAAACTTTTTTTTTTTCATGTAGGTCATTTACAAAACAAGCTTTTACACAATCAAACTTTGAAGAACATAGAAAGAGAAAATGAGACGAGACTATCTATAGGTCATTGTGTGAGTCAGCTGGAGAGCTCTGGGTTTAAGACAGCAGGTTTCTGGTTTTCTGAACAAATACAATATGCTGGATACACACAGTGAGGGCACAGGGCACAGCAGGTGGTTCTGTTGTGTCCACACTGAGCTGACAAACAGACAGAGAATGTGGGATTCTGGGTCACCGGACTAAGCAAGAAACATGTTCGTCATCATGTTTTAGATTTGTTTCTCAGTTCTACTGTTTCATGTCAAGTCGTATTATTAGGTTGTTTCAAAATGTATTGCACATACGTTGTCCTTTCATTCAGACTGATATACTGTGAAGTTTGTCTGACAGCTGTGATGTGTTTATCTTTAATACATTTTTAAACTTTTTCATTCAAATACTGAATTTCATTTGTTTTTATTTTTGTTTATTATTATTTTGTTTGAAACCCTACTTGGTTAGAATATTTAATTGACTAGTTAGCTAGTCGGCGTGGTCTGATGCGCACGATGAAGGCGTGGCATGGTGACGTCATCCTCCGGAGAGCGTCATCTTCAGGGCACTGAGGGCAGATGATTGTGTGTGTGAGCGCAGCTAGACATGTAACGCGCGGCGCCGAACACGAGATGTTTTATTTCATATTTGCATTATTTTCCTGTCAAACGAGCACCCGTTTGGATCATTTGAGCTTTATAATGGCAGAATAGACGCCGGGAGGGACGCTCTATTTGTTTCTGCTTCTTAAGCCGATAAAGAAAAGGAAATTCAGCTATATCTATCTCTTGTGTCCTGACCGGGAACATGTCTTCGGGACAAGATGAAAGCTCAGTGCGCGTGGCTGTCAGGTATAAGAATATACATTTTTATATTTCATGTAGTATATTGGAGAGCCTATAAAGTCTCACTGATGCTCCGTATGGGCCCGCCTCTTATGTACCTGCTACAATGTCACACCATCATCAGGGCTTTATGTTCTGCACGAGCTCATTGTGTTTACGTAAACGCAAAGTGTTTAATAAATATAAGATTAGATGCATGCGCGGCATTATTTTTTTTTTACCCTATTTACCTTATTTTTAATCCTAAGTCAGGCTGTAGGGCCTTATTGTGTTGATAAACGTATCTGATGTATAATTAAAGTGTTAGTTAATTAGCTACTGTTTTACAGTAACATAAGATTAAATGGGTTATCGATTACATAGATTTTAGATAAGGATTTTCTTTTATTTCTCCATCTGTTCATGTCTGACTTCTATTGATTAAGAAGTGGTCAAAACTGTTACTGTATGTGTCATGTTACGGTATGGCTGTAAGGCCTTATTGTGTTTATATTGTACTTGTAATGGTTAATAGATATGCAAATATAAGACTATATAATGTCTTTTTACCTTACTCTTCTGATTATTAAACAGGCCCAGATCATTATATGCATACTTTATTATAGGATTGAGGTTGTCATTTCTCTTTTGCTTTATGACCTTGTTGTGTTTATAATCATGAACTCGATGTTTGATATGAAAATATATAATTATATGCTCACATATAGCTTTTCCTTCATTTTTTATATATTAAGTTCTATTGATCAAAGTAACAATAGGTTACTATAACTTAAATTACAGTAAGTTTGTGGGTCCTGTTGTGATTATAATTAATATGCATGTTTTGTTGATATGTATATCTGAGATTTTATCTGAATATATTATTCTACTGATGTCTCTTGAGCTGAAGTGGGGCTACATCTCAAAATTTCATACTGTAATCAAGGGTTAGGTCACATTTTTTTTGTTGAACTTATTTGCTTGAGCCTTTGATTGTATGTTAAAGGGATAGTTCACTCAAAAATTATGTTGTGTACTCATCCATATGTAATTTCAGAACATTCGTTTCTTCTGTGAAACACAAAAGAAGATATTTTCTGTGAAGTTTTTGTATAGTGAAAGTCTAACGTCCTGTAGTTTGGACCCCATTGACTTCCATTGTATGGACAAAAATAGTTGACTCATTAATCAAAATATATTGTTTGTGTTTCACGAGCAGTGTTATTAGTATCATTCAATTCAATTGAAATTTTTTATTTTTTTTTAAGATTTATTTTTGGCGTTTTATGCCTTTTATTTAGATAGGACAGTAGGTCGACAGGAAGCGAAGTGGGTGAGAGAGAGAGAGAGGGGGGTGGGACCGGGAAAGGTCCACGAGCCGGGACTCGAACTCGGGACGCCCGAAGCGCAAAGGCGCTACATGTCGGCGCGCTGCCCACGAGGCCATTGGCGCCGACCAATTGAAAATTTGTAATAGTTTTAGTGACCAATAACAACACTGGTTCCACCAAAGAAAAAAAATCATACAGGTGTGGAACAACATGGTGAGCAAATGAGGACGGAATGGGCGAACTATCCCTTTAAGTAGTCTGTGCAGTTAAAGTCTATGTGGGATAATATCTTCTTCATTAAACGCATCCTTTTGTGACCAAATTGAAAGGACACACAGAATGCTTCTTTTTTGTGGTTGTAAAAAGCCTCTGTTGAAAAACAAAGGCCGTCTATACGCTCATGTTACATTGTCCTGATAGGCCTCAGGAGCTCTGGTTACTGGAGCTGACAGACTTTGACCTGCAGCTCAGTTTGCACAACATTTGGACTTAGGCCTAATGTCATTCACTCCACCTCTCTTTATTCTTCTGTCAGATTTCTATGAAGGCATCGTGTTTGCGTATGAAAGCCTGTCAGAGAGAGAACTTTAAATGTTCTAAAACAGGTGCAGGATCCATTGTGAACACATGGAAATGGTTTACTTACTACCTGGACAATCTTGAGAATTGATTTTTTGGCTTTTATTGATGACAGAGGAAGGGAGTGTATATATTGTTTACAGAAAATGTGAATGGTTCTGTGTTTTAAAATAGTCACGGGTCTGATCTTGAATGTTTTTGCTATAGGTAGGCATTTGAACAATCCAGTACAGATGACATGAGTGTGTTAATCTGTCAGACTGAGTTTAAGTAAGCAGGTCACACTTACAACCATTGACATTTTGGACATTTACCATGGCCACGTATCTTGGCCGATGAATTGCAAGCATGTAGACCCGTTGTTTGTGGGCCGTAGAGTTTTCTTTAGATGTCTGCAACATTAAACTGAGTTTGTTGTTATTCAAATAGCTACTGTTGATATAAACGTCAATATTTTTTCTATCTTTAACTAACATTCTCCTATCTTAGGACCAGATTTACTAAACAGGGCAAATTAGCGTTAGAGCGCAATTCCATAAAAGTGCCGATGGTAGTGGAAAATTCTGCCGGTGATTTACTAACAATGCGCACATTAAAAGAACACAGATGCAGCCAGATAATTTCCACAATGACCAGCGCAATTTACCGCCTGCTTTAAGACATGCTATTTTGGCCGGTTAAATAATGGCGCAAATACCAGTAATTTGACGAGCGCAAACGTTAGTGAATCAAGTTGTGTGCTTCATTGCAACTCCTACAAATGCATATTCAATAAGGTCAGGCACAAAAATAACTGTGTCCATGCCTTTTTAGTGCTAATTCCTCACTGTGCGTCTTTCGTAAATCCTGTCAGTACTATTTTAACACCAAAAGATGGTTTTGCGCTGGCGCGAGCAGATTGTAAAGCTGTCCCTAATTTAGCTTTGTAGTAGCAGTTTAGGTAATGCTATAGTTTAGCTAATATTTAGTAGTTTAATTTAGATAATTTAGTAGAAGCTGTTTCAATAACGTCATCATTTAACTTTAGTGTTACTAGCTAAAGTAATTTAGTTCATTAATTAACTAATTGTTAATTTAAGTTAGTTAATTTAGTTAATTGTACTAGCTTGCTCTATTCTATCTGTTTTCTTTTTATTTATTATATGATTTAAAAAAAGAACTTGCTACGTGTACTGCATTAAGCTAACTGAGACTTGTTGTAGCACTTGCATATCATTGCTCTTCTGTTGATTTTGATTGCTTCTATTGTCCTCATTTGTAAGTCGCTTTGGATAAAAGCGTCTGTTAAATGTCTAAATGTAAATATAATGTAAATGTAGTGTCAGTAATTTAGCTAATATGGTAGAAGCAGCTATAGCTAATGCTATAGTTTAGCTAATGGAAACATTTTAGATAATAGAATAGTTTAGCTAATGCTTATGCTTTATTTAACTGGAAATAGTTATAAAATAATGTTATAGTTTAGTTAATGTTTAGTAGTTTAGTAGAAGCAGGTTTGCTAATGCAATATGCGAGATACTATGGCGCCCCCTGTGGCAAAACTGAGATTGCAACACATACAGCTTTATGAATTATACTTGACACGTTTCAGTACACAACATGTGAAATCGAACTGCCA